GGAAGGAAATAATTAAACAAGAGAGGAAAGAGGGGCCGGCCATATGGGGGGAAAGGATTAGGTGTCTAGGTTCAACGTATGGGGGCCCACGGATTCAATAAAGGATTTAAATCAAATCTGAATTTTAATTTCAGATTTCATTGAATGAAGGGGTTTCCTAATCGGCGTTGATTAATAAAGAAGGTATTTGAAATCCAAATATTTATTGAATTCAAATGAATGCACCTTCCTAATTGAGAGAGGTTATTTTCGGAAAGTATTTAAGGTAGGTTCGAATTTTGAAATTCAAAATCCATGAGGCATTTGGAGGGGATTAAATTTGAAATTTCGATTTCAAATTCAAAGAGGGTGAGGGCTCAATGAGGAAACAACACAAGCCAAGCCCAAGGAAGGAAGACCGGCGGCATGAAGAGGAGGAAGGGGATTGTGGGAAGTGTTTTATGAGTTTCCAAAACAAGCTTGGCCAATTAGGAGGGAAAATAATGAGTCCTCTCTAAATTGAATTTAGATTGGATTCAAAATTTGAAAACTTTCCTTAATTGGATTTTGCAAATAAGGAAAGTTTTTGAATTTCAAAATTTTCTAACTCCTTTCTTTCTTGCAAGAGCCAATTTATGGAGTCATTATGACGATTAAAATCATCATAATGATTTGAGGTGTAGGTGGGGCCGGCAGTCAAGTAGGTGGGGCCGTCGGTCAAGAGGGAAGAGGCGGGTTCGGCTTTGGGTGGAGGTGGCTAGGAGGTAGGTCAGCGGGTGGGATTGTGGAAGGGGAATTTGGTGGGGATCAAGGGGTATTTTGGTGGCAGAATGAAAGTAGAGGGATGACGAGAAATCGGTGGGGAATAGACAGAGATAGAATAGAAAAGGTAGACGAAGACCATGAGCCACGGACTCTTCCGATGACGGGTGGGTATTGCGTTTGCTCACCTTGAGCTCTCTATTCCTTCTCTCTTGTGCACTCACAAGAAGAAGAAGAAGAAGAAAAACCCATAAAATTTCATTATCAAATCATCATCCCAAAATACAAAACAACTAGCCTATAAATAGGCCTAATGAAAAGAAAAGAAATCAAAGACTAAAATGTCCTTCGGTCTACAATATTACATGACCACCCGTAAGGATATAAAGGGAAAAATAATAATATAAAATAAACTAGTACATAAAACATATAAGTAAATAACTCAAGATCATAGCCGTTGATCTCCAATGTCGTCATCAGCAACTCTATGCAAATCCCAAGAAATGTATGTACCTCACAACGAGCGTCACCTTCCTACATCTTCGCAAGGAATTTCAGCCGATCCTGAGAAGGTACGAGCAATCAACGAATGGACTGAACCTAAGACTATCTGAGAAGTTCAGAGTTTCCATGGATTGGCCACATTTTATAGGAGGTTTAATAGGAACTTTAGCACCATAGTGTCACCCATAACCGACTGCCTCAAGAAAGGAGATTTTCAATGGACTGTGCCTGCCTCTAAGCTTTCGAGGAGATAAAAAGGAGAATGGTAGAAGCTACAGTTATGTGTCTACCCGATTTTTCAAAAGTTTTTGAAGTAACCTGCGACGCATCTGGAATCGGTATAGGAGGAGTTCTATCACAAGAGGGACATCCCATCACGCATTTTAGTGAGAAGTTAAATGACATCCGACAACGGTACTCTACCTATGATAAGGAGTTTTATGCTATCATTCAATCCCTTAGGTATTGGAGACACTATTTATTGCCCCAAGAGTTTGTCATCTTCTCCGACCACGAAGCCCTGCGTTACATAAATTCGTAAAAGAAACTCAATGCACGACATGGTCGCTGGGTCGAATTCCTCCAAGAATACACCTACACCATCCAACACAAAGCCGGGAATGAAAACAAAGCAGCAGACGCCCTTAGCTGTCGGATGATGATGACTCGAGAAATGAGAATTGAAGTGATTGGATTCGAGCGTGTCTTAAAGAAGACTATAAATATTGCCATGATTTTAGTGAGATCTATGCTCGTTTGACTTCCGGACATGAACGCATGTTCTCAAAAATGGCCCATTTCCTCCCATATTCAAAAACTTTTGACGCCTCCCGGGTCGCTAAGCTCTACTTTGACGAAATAGTTAGACTTCACAGTCTACCAAAAACCATCGTTTCCGATAGAGATGTTAAGTTTACGAGTTATTTTTTGAAAACTCTGTGGCACAAGATGGATACGAAACTACAATTTTCTACATCCTTCCACCCCCAGACCGATGGGCAAACCGAGGTTGTTAACAGGAGCTTAGGAAGCCTCTTAAGGACCTTGGTAGATGAAAACCTTAGATATTGGGATTCTAAGTTGCCTATTGTTGAATTTGCCTATAACAATTCTATTAACCGAACCACGGGTCTGAGTCCAACCGAAATTGTGTACGGATACCAACCTAGGCAACCTATAGATTTAATTCCCATGGGTCTTAAGTCTAGAGCATCCGAATCTGCATCTGCATTTGCATCGCATCTACAAGAATTGCACAAAGAAATTAATAAGAAAATTGAATAAAGCAATGCTAACTATAAACACAATGCGGACCTCAAGAAACGATTTAAAGAATTTGAAGTGGGAGACTCTGTGATGGTTCAGATTCGTCCGGAACGGTTCCCGCAAGGGACCGTCAAGAAGTTACATGCAAGAAGTGCAGGACCTTTCAAAATTACATTCAAAATAAATAGTAATGCTTATGTGCTAGACTTTCCCGAGGGTTTTAACATTAATCCTACATTTAATATTGAAGTTCTTGTAGCCTACGAAGGTTCAGAGTTTAACCCCACCAATCCATTATATATAGAGCCTTATGTGACCGTACCTATTGAGATCCCCAGCCTACCCCCACTTCCAAACATTCCCACTTTACCTACCGCGGAGAGAATTGAGACAATACTTAGCGATGAAATCATTTGCACTAAAGACGGTGGTCGCCGAAGGTATCTAATTCAATGGGCAGGAAAGCCGGAGACGGAGAACGCGTGGATCGACCGGGATGAGCTGCAGAAATTGGATCCTGACTTACTGGAGTGGTACGAGGCTTCTAAAGACGCTTACTCGACGGGGTCGAGCTTTCTCCCACCTGGGGAGAATGATGAGGACATCAGATTTCGACACGTGTACCATCGTCAGAGACGCAGATCGACGGCTACGATCCAGAGCCATTATTTCTGATTTATTTATGACTTATTTTGTATTTTATTTATTATCGCATTTTATTTTCCTAGTTTACCCCTGTGGGTATTGAGTCGTTTGTGTAGCCCTGAGAGCATTTGTGTCTTTTAGCTTTGTTTTATCTTGGGCTATTTAAAGGAGGCTTCATGCATTGTAGAGATTGATGAATTATTGATAATGAAAATTTTATGTTCTTATTGATCTCTTAGTGAGTTCATGTGAGGAGAAGTCCAAGGAGGACAAGAGCAAGACCCGTCAACCGTTGGTGGATTATGAGGTTCGCGGCCTGATTTCTTATCCTTCCCCTATACACCCACATCATCCCCACGCCAAATACCTGTCGGCCTCCCATTAGCCCCCAAATCCCCTTCCCTTTCCCCTCAACCCGAGCCCCACCCTCGTCCCGTAGGCCCTTCCGTTAGCCGCCGGCCTCCCCTCCACCACCAACCCTCCCAACCGTCAACCACTGGCCTGGTACCCCCTCTCCCCAGATGTTTTCAAATTTTGAAATTCAAATTGATTGAATTTTAAAGTTTCCAAATTTGTCCAAAGCCAAATTAGGAAAGTTTCAAATGAGGTTCAATTTAAATTTAAATTGAACCTCATTTGAAATTATCATCCTTAATTAGCCAAAGCGAATTTGGAAATCCTTAATTCTCTTCCCTCTAACTCCTCTCCCTCTCATAATGCCGCCGGCCTCATAGGGGAAAACCCAAATTGATTTCTCTTAATTTACCCCATCCCCACTTGGAATTTGAAATTCAAATTCACTTAATTTCCCTCCAATTCCCCTTAAACTGAAATTAATTTCAGTTTTTCATAATCCCTCAAACCCTAATTAGACCTACCCGCCCCTCTCCCTTCTCCTCTCTCTCTCTACCCGAGCCCACCCCTCCCCCTTGTTTCCTTGGACAATTTCCACCAAGGGCTGACTCGTCCTCCACCAAGTTACTACCTACCGCAAGGATATCTCATAGTCATGTATGGCCGATCCCGAGCGTGATCACGAATTTGCGTACGATCATCAAGGCGACATTGACGTCATCCGATCACCATTCTTTGACGTCGGATTCGGCTTCAACCACACCGTCAAGGATTATTTGAACCGGATTCTTCCCCATGTCGTGGATATCCTAGACGAGCAACTTCCGGCAGACGAGTGGATCATCAACGGGCGTCCATTCTCTTCTCCAAATCCGACCTCTTCCTCGACGACTAGCCCCCTCGGCATTACTTGTTTGATAGTGGCATCGTTGAGTTTGTGTGCCATCCTCTTCCGCTAACCGAGTGAATTCAAGAGCGTATGTGAGGGACTTCGAGGTAAAGGATCTAGATCTTAAAATGTGGATTTTGTTAGAGTGCCATATGTTTTATTATTTATTTAACGGTGTAATTTTGCTAGTATTCTGTGGTTTTTAATTGTAACCCTTTTACATCGTTTAGTTCTTCCATGAATATTTTCTAACAACCTATCTTGACCCGCATCAGTTCATATTTAGCTTGGAAAGTTCCTAAATTATTAATTTCTTCACGCAATTCTTGATTGTATTGCATCAAACTCAAATGAAAACTTCCTATATAAACTCTGCATGCACGTAAGAAATTAAGCATGCAATATATTAGCAAAAAATATCACTACTCACAATTCAAACAAAATTCCTCAAAATTAAGAAAGGGAGCCAATTATGTCATTCATATAAATTCAACTTCAAAACATTAAAAACTTTTTAATAGGATATTACTTTGGACATTCGTTCAGTTCAAATAAATTCACAAGAAAATGGATGAATTAAACAGATCAAAAAAGAAGATACCCATAATTCGCATCCCAGAGTGAGGCGATCATTTGTGGAAATCACTGGTAAAACAAGACTTTCAGTAGGAATTTGTGAAACACGTGAGAACAAAAAAATAGCAGCGTCCAGGGACTGAAAAAATAAGCGAGCCCCAGCGAAGAAGAAATTTCCAATACTGCGGATTAAATTACATGGTCATTAGAATCCAAAGAACAAGTACAATCAAAAATTTTTATCATGCAGAAACATTAATTACTAAGTTAGCATACCCAGTTCCAGATAAACAATATATTATTTTGCTAAAACAAAGTAAAAAAAAAACAAAATAGCAGATCATTCACCATGTGATCGCCATGTGAAGATAAAAAAAAGGCAAAAACAATTACTTAATCTAAAATGAGTGCCAGAGAGTATCACCTGCCATTGCTGAAACAAAAAGAATCGCTTGTGCGTCGGAGAATCTGCAGGGCAGATACTGTCATATTGAGTCAATGAATGCATTATATGTGAAAACGTATTCTAAGTAATAAGATGCCCGACTTCATGCATACAGAATCATGCACTGGACGGAAATAGAAAAGACAAAAAGATGATTATGCAATGAAACTCAGCATTTGTCCTGAGAATATGCAGCTATAAAGATATTAGGACATGCTACAATAACATAAATTCAGGCTCTTAGAAACAATGTTTCAATCAAGCTCATGTAACCTATAATTGACTGGCAGCAATTATGGGCAGCTAGTAATGAAATTGTGAATCATCATCATCTCATCACCAAAAAGAGTGATTTGATCTCATCAACCAATATTATAGCAAATGATAAATCGAATATCAATCTGTTGTAAAACAAATAATACATCTAAAAAAATATTATAGACAAGGACACTACAAAATAACAAAAAAAGAGATACTCATAACATTCAGATTTCAGCCTAAAAACTGTGTTCCCTTAAATTCTTGTATAGTGAGCACGCGAACAAGCACATATGGAAAGCAGAGCCTACTTGAACGGTATATCATTAAAAAAAAACGTGAATAGTGGCAAAAGGAAATAACAAGACAAGTAGATGACATGGTGATTTCACTATGCAGCAAATTTGTCTAGCTGAGTATATACCATTTGATTAATTTTAGGTTTACTGCAACATTTATGTATTACTTGATTCCTCGTGGAAAGCAGAGTAACTCTTTGGTAGTTTTGTTTGATCTAGAAATTCGGTATATATCTTCTAGCCATAATAAAGTTCTGATACATTTTGATTGTCACTATATTTAGGATGCAGAAATTTTATTAAGAGATTTCTGTTGTTAATCAAACCAGAGAGTTGGCAATGATGTCATAATTCTAACATGAAGAGAATAATGTTGCATCATCATAAATGAATACGGCCAAGAATTGTGTAAAGTAGGTATATTTTTGCAGTTGTTAAAAACATGCTTGTGAAAATTGGACCGGACATAGAACTGGAAGGAGTGGTTTAAAATTCAATGGTTCAACTAGGATTGAAACGGATGACATAATAATATTAAAATTATTTAAATAATATCTAAATGAAATACTAATGATGTAATAATTATGTCCAAATATACTAAAAAATAAATAGAATTTTACACAAATAATATTAGCTATAATTTTAAATTTAAATATCCTCAATTTTAAATTTGATTCATAGAACAACAACAATATCAAGCATTTATCCCACTATGTCGAGTCAGCCACATGATCATTTTTCGCTATTGTGTCCTATTAAGAGTCAAATTTCACTTAAATCTAATAAAAATGTCATTTCTAATACTTTCTAACCAAACCTTTTTAGGTCTACCTCTACCTTTCTTTCATAGGCAAAATCTAATATATCTACTCTCCTAACTGGGTTATCGAAAGGCGACCATTTTATGTGTTTATTTTAAATCAATATTATGTTTCTCTTTTAATGGCGAGCATTTTGCACCATTAAGCATTGTAGGTCTAACCACCATCTTATAGAATTTCCCCTTAAGTTTGACGGGGAATTTTCTATCACACAATAAGTCAAAAACATTCCTCTATAAATATATATAATAATTTATTTAATATTTTATATAAATTTATTAAATTAATTTAACTTAATTAAATGGTTCAATTGAACCGACTGTTCTTCAAAAACCAGGACCGATTTGTTGGTTACCCGATAGAACTGATCATTCATTCCAATTTTAACCGATCAAATGTTAAAGCGGTTTTTTGGTTTGAACAAACTGGTTACCCGACCGATTCCCGATTCAAACGGTTGAACCGAATCGTCCGGTCCCAATTTTAAAACGGTGGTAAAAAGTCATTATATAGGATGTCATTATTGAACTTCCCTTTTTAGGCCATATATATCATACTCAAGAAAGTAAAAAAAATTTATTTACAAACAGGTATCTGCTTTTTTCTGTCGATGACATTTCCTCAAGCTTCTTGTAATTTATACATAAGTTTTTTAAGAATAAAGCATTCATATCAGATATCTTGAAGCATTTGAGTCCCTAACATCAAACGTAATCACCTTAGAAGCACCATGATGGTCTGATTTCACAAATGGTAGCACAAGTCAGTACCAAAGAGCAGTTTCCAGGTGTGTTTCACATTTTACTTGAATTTATTGATGCTACTGACCTGAAGCATATCTAAGCTTATCACATATATATCAATTTAAAATCATAATTGTTGAAATCCAACCATTCCCATTGCAAAGGATCCGACGGACACAGAGATCAATCCGTGGGATGCTCTCATGGATCACGCCATGGTGAAATCCAGTCGTTCCCAGTGCAAAGGATCCGACGGACACAGAGATCAATCCATGGAATGCTCTCATGGATCACGCCATAATGAAGGAACGAATTTATGAAAGATTTTATTAGAAATTTTATGTATTAAATATGTAATATATTATTTCCTCATTAAGATATCTTGTATAGATCTATAAATAGGGAAGATAGTAATGAATAAAGCTAAGCTTTTCTTCTCAAATCTCTTATTTGTAACATGGTATCAGAGATAACGGCCTTCATTGCCGAGGAAGAAAGATTGCCGAAGGAGAAAAAAAGAAGAAAAAGTAAATCAGAAGCTGCTTGTGGGAAGAGGTCTTACCAGAGCCTAGTGGAAGACGAACCCGAAGCCTCGACGCAAGAAGAAGCCGCTCGGGAGAAGATGGCTCTCGGACGCTCCTTCTCCGGTCTTCCTATCTCACTCGGATACGCCAGGCGGACGAAGTTGTGCCGAAGACGAACCCTTGAGGACGGAGGAGCGAAGCAGCCTGCGCCTAGCCGCTATTCGATCCGAGTCTTTTTAAAGACTAGGCTTGGTACGGTTTATTAAACCAAACGGAAGCCTTCATTGTTATCCAAGATCGCATAGATAGTATTTATTACTATCATCATGTCAGAAGTTCATTCCTCCCAAAGCATTGACCAAACCTAGGGCTGTCAAAACTGGGTCACGGGTCGGGTTCGGGTCCAACCCGAAATTGACCCGACACTGTTCAACCCGACCCGAACTCGACCCGTTTTTGCAAACGGGTCGGTTTTCCGAACCCGAACCTGACCCGCATCGGGTCCGGGTCAACCCGAACCCGACCCGATTCGGGTATATTTTATTAATTTTTTTATTTAATTCAATTTATTTAAATCTAAATCAAATTAAGGAAAGATTTACTTCAATTAATTTAAAATAAATCAAGATTAATTTATTTGGGCAATAATGTTTATAATTTTTTGAAATATCATTAACTTAGTTCATAAAAATCCTTTAAAACCCTCCTAAATTAATTAAAAATGGGTCAAATCGGGTTGATTTCGGGTTTCCGGGTCAACTCGAACCCGACCCGGTTTTACAAACGGGTCGAAATCCCTAACCCGACTTGACCCGAACCCGAAATTTTCGGGTCGGGTTCGAGTCGGGTTTTCGGGTCGGGTCAAATATTGACACCCCTAACCAAACCGAGGAGTTGGTGGTGCACCAAGGATGAGGTGACCTCCAAAGCATGCAATCGTCCAATCGTCTAAATGTGAAGAACTACCTAAAGTGGTCTCAATTTGTGAAGATCTATTTGAAAGGGAAAGGGAAAATACACCACCTCCTTGGAGGATGACCAAAAGAATGAGATCCTAAACTCGGGGCGTGGGATGAAGCAGACTCCATGATTATGTCGTGGTTGTGGAATTCCATGACTCCGGAAATTAGCGATACATTTATGTTCCTTTCCACTGCAAAAGATATATGAGATGCTGCCAGACAGACCTTCTCCAAAGCCCGTGATGCGGCTCAAATCTTTGAAATTAAAGTTAAAGTTGGAAGCACAAAACAGGGGAGTAAGACCGTGACAGAGTATGCCACCCTTCTACAAAATATGTGGCAAGAACTTAATCATTATAGATGCATAGAAATCAGATGTCCGAAAGATGCTGCGATCCTCAAGAACTTTATTGAAAAAGATAAGAGTTTTGATTTTCTTGCAGGACTAAATGAAGAATGTGACCAAGTTAGAGTCCATATTCTCGGCAAAGAGGAGACGCCGTCACTCAATGAAACTATTTCTCTCATCCGCGCAGAAGAAAGCCGACGAGGAGTGATGTTAAAACCAAAGGTCGTGGAAAGTTCCCAGTGCAAAGGATCCGACGGACACAGAGATCAATCCGTGGGATGCTCTCATGGATCACGCCATGTTGAAATCCAGTCGTTCCCAGTGCAAAGGATCAGACGGACACAAAGATCAATCCGTGGAATGCTCTCATGGATCACGCCATAATGAAGGAACGAATTTCGGAAAGATTTTATTAGAAATTTTATGTATTAAATCTGTAATATATTATTTCCTCATTAAGATATCTTGTATAGATCTATAAATAGGGAAAATAGTAATGAATAAAACCAAGCTTTTCTTCTCAAATCTCTTATTTGTAACAATAATAATCATAACAAATAAAAATCATAATGATGGTAGCCACTATATCTACATTTGAATCTATTACATTCATTTTATCTTTCTAATAACTACTTTATCTTAGAAATTATGTGGTGCAGAATTTTACCGAAATTAGTATTTACTGTTATACTATATCTTAGAATGTTTCGGGTAAATCCTTTCTATGCAAACAAAGGTGATAAAAAGAAAATTAAACAAAGTTGAAATATATTCACAACAAATATCTGAATGTGGAAGAAACAATCAGGATATTTTCACATCCTGAAATTTACCTGATTGTGAAAGTAAGCCAGAAATGCACGTATTGTTTCCCCATAAGGACGAGAAACACCATTCCATAAGAAATGCTGGCCTTCAACGATTCTATACCTGTAAATTTTCATAAATTTCAACAAAGTAACAGAACTGAGATTCAAATAAAAAACATATGTAATCATAATTTATTAAGACAGCAAATTTTGATAGCATGTGATTGAAATCATTCATCAAATGAGGATCGAAAATTTGATAAAATCCGGAAAGAAATCAGAAGAATACTTATGGTGACTCCACATAAGACAATGCACATGAGCATACGCGCAGGCGCACAATGCGTGCTTGCACACAGGGAGAGTTAAGTTACTATCCCTTTAGTAGGATAAAACATCTTATTCTTACACAACTTTCACCATCCATCATAAAATTTAAATGGCTAAGATATGAAGCAGCTAAAGGGCAACTTTTTATATTACCACTGATTTTAAGCTTATTTAAATCTTAATCATTCAAAATTTGAGATAGAATCATGGAAGGTAAAAGATATATATATATATATATATGAGCGTACCTAAAATATCTTTAATCTTTAAAATATAAAAAATTGTAAAGTGAAAACAAAAATAAGTACTAGAGATTGATGGCAGAAAACACATCATATGATATTGAGTGATTCAATAACAATTCATAAATACCACTCAGATTTAGCATCTGATGCATCAAGAGGCAATCTATGTCCAAGCAATCTCCTAACAGCAATAGCTTCGGAAGTGCTTTCATCAGACAATCTCAAGCATCTTGATCTTATATCCCCTACAGCTGGTCCACCTGCACAAAGCAAATTATTTTACCTTTAAATTTATTATTTATGGGAAAAGAATTGCAAAATCCAAAGCTCAAAACAATCTAAATACTCATTGTGTCCATTATAGGATAAGATAGTCTACCTACAACGCGTACAATCTCAGCTGTACTGCCACCATCATCAGAAACAGGAAGAACATGAGCAACTCGAGTTGTAACTTTCTTCAGCTCTTCTGCCACACAGTTAAATGCAGTTCCTCCTACAGAATGTCCAGATGAAGATAGAATACTAAGGATTTTAGTGGAGTTGCAGAAATTAATGAGGATCTTAAAAAGGTATAATCTTCATTTATACAAAATTATGCAAGACTAATGCTGCAGCAAGAAACTCAAAGCATCAACAAAATGCATTGCCATGCCAAGAGCCAAGTTGTCATAGCATAATAAACCCAACTATTTAGAAAAAAGCACATTCTACCATGATTTCAAAAAACTTTCATCCAATTTCTCTGGCCGTTTTTGTGTCTCAGTATTGTTTGAAGCTGGAGATCCAAGGCAGCGTGATGTTCCAGAAAACATCATCAAAATTCTAACTACTTCTAATAAAATTCGCTAATATGTTAAACTGAAAAAGTCTTCAACAGCCAAAAAAGCTCAAAGCATGTGTTCTTAATTTGAGTATAATGCCAATGGCTGAGTTCAACTACAAGCATGTCATGATGGATGCATATAATGCTCAGTAGGAAATTTTTAAAAAAGAAAAAAAAAAAGATCAGACTCGAGAATCAGTCATCTGGCAAATTGAGAATTGGGAAAAACATGTGTATAAATATGCAAATGGGCAGAATAGGTATGATGTAAGATAACAAACTTAACCCATGTAAACCACTGGATCATTGGTAATCCGAAAGTAAAAATCTGGTAAAATGTGACATGGCGTTGCTGTATAAAAATAAGCTCTGATGAAGCAATTCATGCTGGCTATTGCTCCAAAACTTCCAGTAAAAAATATAAATAATCAAACGGAGGGCAGATATTAGGCGTACGATAAATCCCAATTCCGACTTAATAAATGAGTTAGTTCACACAGCAACCATAACGCACAGCAGATATGAAGCCAAGTTTATTTACGCTGAAATAATCGTTCACCTCCATAAAAATGGGAATTCACTTCCACCTAACGAACCAAAACCTTACACAGCCACCAGATGCACATATTTGTAATCCAGTACAGCAAAGTCCAGGATTAACCTTTTCAAAGTTATGAGATTCGTCCAATAAATGCTTAAAAAAAATCAACAATGGCTATCCACTTAATTCATTCAAAAAAGCTAAACCCCAGCATAATTGTGGATGAGGCAGCTCTATACCTGAGAAAACGAGTAAGGAGGGCTGTTGGCTAGGTTTGGGGCTCGACTGAGGGACAAAGAACGAACAAGCAGGAGAGCTATTACAGTGCGTGGAGGCCATTGTGACGCAGGATCTACGCAAGTACTGGGTGGAAGCCGCGGACCAATATGGGAGGACGACGGTAGCCACGGAGAAGTTCGCGAAGAGAAATGGGTGCGAGAAGGTAGAGCGGACGAAGGAGTTCTGTACCGGCGAGGGCGCTAAAACCCCATCCGCCATGGAGTACGTGTAAACCTAGATTGCCAACACTTCCCGCCCGTGTCTCCTTCCGTTCCCCCGCAGTCGCATCATCTCCAGCAATGCAGGAGCGTTATGCGCGTCATCCAAATTTATTCTGTAAGATGACAAGAGAAATTATTCGGTTTGGTTTTCCCTTTCTTTTCTGAATCTCATGTTATTTTCCCTGCACTTCCCTGCAGAGCAATCATGTCACAATTTTAATTTGGCTAGACCTGACTGGATTTGGATTAAGTGGAACTCTGCCAAAGTAATTTTTTCTCCCTCTATCATATCCCCTCAGCTCATCTCGGGTATTGTAAATGGTGCTACATTTTCTCCTTTTACGTTATCAGTTATATACGCTGAAAATAATAGAGAAGGCCGTCTTCCTCTCTGGGAACTGATTAAAAGTTGTGCTGCTTCTATGACCAATCCTTGGATTGTTATGGGCGATCTGAATTGTTGTAGATTTGCTACTGATAAATTGGGAGGTAACGCTTTATCCCACAGTAACTTAGATGAATTAAACTCTGTTATCTTTGATGCAAATCTAGAAGAATTGAATTTTGTGGGCAATAACTACACCTGGTTCAATCAGCACATCAATAACCCCATACATATCAAATTTGACAGAGTTTTGGTTAATGAGAAATGGACCACCTCTTTTCCTAATTCTTATTATTCGGTGCAAGCTCCTTCTTGTTATGACCATTGCCCTCTTATCCTTCACTCTTCTGACACTACCTCCTCCCACCACTGTTTTGTAAAAACCCTCCAAAGCTGATTTTTTTAGTGTTGTTAGTCCCGGACGAACCGGCCTTAGTCGCGGACGAACTGAAGAAAATTGTGAAGAATCTGTCATTTTCGTCTGTACAAACCTGGAAGGGTCGGGACGAACCTTCGGGACATTGATCATTGATACAACGATTGGGAGTCATAAGGAGATTATTATGCCGACGGGCGGCCGACGGGCACAGAGTGACGACTCTTATTGAGCCAACGGATATATTTATAGATTCTACAACAACACTATGGATTTCTACAACAGCACTATGGATTATCGACTTGAAAAACGCCTTAATAGCCAGTGATTGTACTTGTTCAGTAAGACTATTATATTGAATTGCATGTGTACGGTATTATCCTTATGATCTCATTACGGATTTTATTAACATTGACTTGTATGGATTTCCTGATATGAATTGATCTATTGATTACTTATTGATTTATTGATTACCCTACGCATGATTAATATCGACGGATTTATTGTTAGCGAATGGATTTATTGATTTACTGATATTGACGGATTTATTGTATTGAATTGATTTATTATTGAATGGATTTATTGACGGATTTACGGGTTTACTGTTACTGTACGATTTCATTGATATTGCATGTTATTAATGTCACTGGATACTGGCACCGATATGGATATGGATATTGTATTGATTCATGGATACAGATACCGATATTATTGATTCATCGATATTATGGATTCATTGATTCATGGATACTATTGATACTACAGATACTAATACTGATACTACAGATCCACTAATACATTGATTCATTATATTGATTCTTATAGCACGTGATTATTGATGTATTGATTTGATTGATTTATTGATTTGATTGATTTATATGATTATATTGATTTGATTTCAACCGTTGTTACGATGTATATATTTGATCATTTTATGTGATTCCATACCGATTGATATTATTGACCGGGATTAATTGATTTACTGATATGATTGATTTGATTTCATAGTTATAGCATAATCGTTCATGTCGTCACTGGATTGTTATTGATATTGATACATACGCTGCTGTTACTGATTGAGATACTGATCAACTGATATGTGATTTACTAAACATGTGATATCGATTACTAGATTTCATATGATTTATTGAGAAAGTTATATTGAATAACTGATCGATTTGCAAGTGCATGTTTTGATACGATTCTACTACATTGATTTGACTGATGTTATAGACTGATGTGATAGATAAGACGACTATTAAAGAGATTTGATGCACGAACTGATTTCTGATTTATTGAGCTTTATGGATTTTCTACTGTTCACTGATTCTATCATTGATGATTTTGAGATTCTATTGTTCATGCATTGATTTCTGTTTCTATACTGATTCCCGTATCTGCATCGACTCACTGATCATGTGCAACTGACTGTTATGGACTTGATTTGACCATTTGACATGCATATTACTTTCATGCCGTACTTTTATTTCAATTGTAGGCTTAGGTGACATGCTGGGCTTTTTGAAGCTCATTATATGTGGTTAACAATTTCAGGTCTGAGCAAGGGAGCAGGAAGTGATGGTTGATCAAGACTGTCAGACGAATCCTTTCACTATGGATGCTTGGGGCGTCACAGTTTTCTCTTCAAAAATTTATGGACCTCTTTTGACGATTTTTGGTAAATTCTACTTGATGTTTTCTCTGCTAATCAAGTAGGTAATCCGCTGGCTGATTTCTGCACTAAACTTCGGGTTTTAAAGAGTAGGCTCAAGCTGGAGCCATGGACTAATGCTAAGGCTATTCAAGAGCATATGGATTCCCTTCATAGTTATCAACTTTATTGTTTACAACAGATTTCAGCTAATCCTCTTAATGTGTCTCTTAATTGCAAATTGAAAGATGCCAACAAACAAATATCTAAATTCACTTCTCTTCATGTCTCTTGGATTATTCAGAGAGCCAAGGCTTCTTGGCTCTCTCAGGGGGAGGATGATTTAAAGTTTCTATACGCTAAGATTCGTCGTAGGAGGGCAAACAGTAATGCTGTGGTTAACATGGGATCCTCCTCAAATTGTTTTAGTGATGATGCTATTTATGGAATTATTAAGCATTATCAGGAACTTTACAATCCTCCTATTATTGAGGATTTAAATATGGAGCTCTTTCTTGCTGGTAATATCTTACAAACTTCTACTGCTGACTCTCTAATTATTTATGTGTCTGATGCTGAAATAAGGAAGGTGGTTTTTGAGGGCAAGGCTTTTTCTACTCCGGGTCCTGACGGGTACAATTTTCATTTTTACAAAAGAAGTTGGCACATCATTGGGCTGCTGGTCTGTAAGGCTGTTAAATCCTTCTTTATTTTGGGTAAAATGCCAATGGTATTAAAGCTATAGCTCTTACATTGATCCCCAAAACTAAACATTCCGCCTCTTTTACTGACTTTAGGCCCATAGCCTTATGCAATGTGATTTATAAAATTATTTTTAAAATCATTGCTAATAGGCTTAAGCATGTCATGCCTTTTATTGTGAAAGATACTCAGTCTGGTTTTATTAAATCTAGAATATCCACTGACAATATCATTCTTGCCCAAGAGATCCTATCTTTTGCTTCTAAAGGGAATTTTTTTTTTATTTTGTGCCAAATTTGACATCCTCAAAGCTTTTGATGATGTTTTCCAGAGAGTTTATTTTAGCAAGACTTCATCAAAAAGGTTTTCCTCCTTTGTTTATTTCCTGGGTCAAAAACTGCATTTTCGATGTCAATTTTTCCATTGTAATTAAAGATGCTCTTGAAGGGTATTTCTCCTCCACGGCTGGGTTAAGGCAGGGCTGTCCCCTAAGTCCTTATCTGTTTTGTATTGCCATTGATGATTTTTCCTCGATTCTAGATGATAATCTTTTTGTGAGAGCCCATTTCAAGAATTTTAGGCTTAGCCATCTCCTTTATGCTGATGACTTACTTGTTTTTGGTGAAGCTTCTCCTACCAATTGTATCACTCTTTTTCACATTATTAATATCTTCACCAAATCATCGGGCCTTCACATTAATCTGGACAAGAGCTCTCTCTTGCTTCCTATGAATCTTCCTAACGCTTGTGTTATCTGCAGCTCTCTTTGTTTGTCTTCTAAGGATATTGTCACCTATCTTTGTGTCCTTATATCCTTTAGGAGATTAAAAATTTTAGACATTTCTTCTCTGATGGATGATGTTACTAGAAAACTCTCTGGTTGGAATGCTAAGATATTGTCTTTTGCGGGGAGGCTTCAATATTTGAAATTTACCATGCTTAATTCTATAGCATATTGGATTAGGGGAGCTATATTACCCAAAGCTGTTTTTTAATTCTTCAGGAGAGCTGCCTCCAAATTTCTATTTTTTGAGGATTTGTCTGTTGGAAAAAAATTGCACCTTGTTGCTTGGGATAATGTGTGTAAGCCTAAAAATAGGGGGGGTGGCTTGGCCTTCCTAGTTCTTCTGCCCTTCAACACGGTTTTAACTGCTCTCTTATTCATAGAATTTATAATAGATCTTCTCCTCTGGCTGGTTGGTTTTTTAAGTATTACTCCTCTCCTTGGAAACTGGCTCATTCTAAGGCTTCAAAATTTTGGAAATCTATTTGATGTACTGCTGAAGCTACTAAGGAGAATTGGATTCTCAAAGTTACACCTAAATCCCCCTTCTCTCTTCTTTGGGACTATTGGTGCAATAATAGGCGTCTGGTTGATATATGCCCGGAGTATGCTAATTATGAGGATTATTCTCTGAGTAATTTTATCTCATTTGAAGGGCTCTGGCAATTCCCTCTTCCACTTCCGGCTGAGGTATCTAATGCTATTTTGAGTGTTAGTATTCTGGATTACAATTCTGAATGTTTAACTTGGGTTTCTGCTGGCAATGTCAAATTTAAAGACTTCACTGCTGATTTTTAAAAAAACCTTCCTGCTTGCTCTTGGGAAGATTATATCTGGCATAAGAGACACTCTTTGAGATTTTCTGTTTACACCTGGTTATCTTTGGTGGGAGGTCTTAAAACGGCTATGGAGCTTCACCGTAGAAACATTGTGGTGGATTTGTCTTGCTCTCTTTGTTACTGCTACACTGAGAGCACCAATCACTTGTTTTTTTACTGCACATACTCGCACTCAATTATCTTGGCTCTTATACCTGAATCTGCCACTATTCTTCTCAGACCCAATCTGTTGCAGCTTTTCGACCGGGTGAATGATAACCAAAAATTTTCTTCTCAAATCGAAAAACTTTATTTTATTACAATTTGCTGCACGGTTTACTATGTTTGGAGAGAAAGAAATGATATGAGATTTGCTTTATCTGCTTCTAGCACCTCAACGACTTTGTTTAAGATCAAGAAAGCTATCAT